AATAAACCAACCAAACAAACAAACAAAAAAACCAAACCCACTGCCACTGAGTCCATTCCGACTCACAGCAACCCCACAGGACAGAGTGGAACTGCCCCATAAGGTTTCCAAGGAGCAGCCAGTGGATTTGAACCGCCAACCTTTCAGTTAGCAGCCAAACACTTAACCACTACACCACCAGGGCCCCAATAGGCTATTTGTATTTCTTTTCAGTATCTGTCTATGTATGGTCTTTGCTTATTTTTCTATTCAGTTGATAGTCTTTTGCTTTTTATTTATAAGAGCTATTTGTATGTTAAAGAAATGAACCCTTTATCTGTCTTATGTTAAGAATGTTTTTTCTTAGTTTATTTGTCTTTTACTTTGTTGTCATTATTTGTAATTCAAGGTGAGCTTTTTGAGACAATAAATATTCACCAGGAAAAGAATAAAGTAACATCTTCCCCCACACCCCTCCTCCCTCATCCACGAAAGAGACACCACACCACATTGTATTTCTAAAAGGGTGTGAGCTCATTACACTTTCTCCTAGGAATGTCCAGCCCTTCAAAGGTTAAACTGGACCATCCCACAGATGGATGGAACAGACGATGTTTCTCAGAGAGAACTCTAATGGCCTTCCAGGCAGTCTTCACTGGACATCCTTGGCTTCTGGGCATGCTCAGTCATTAAGTTAACAATAACAACAAAAAATGCAACCACACGTTTTCAAATACTCCTACCATTTTCAGCCAAAGGAAGGTACTTAAAATTGAAAATATTGTATTAGCTTCCTAGAGACTGATGGAGGTAGGTGGTTCCAAAACCATAGATATCAGTGTCTAACTTTCCCAGGAAATATAGTAGGTCCTCTGATGGTGCTCTGGCTTACATGCACAGGAGACATGAACACTAATTTCCACGGCCTTGGGAGTTGAAATACTATGACAAAACTTGGCATAGAGGATGCAGATTCATTAAATAGGCTCAATGAACTTAGGCAATGCACATCTCAGTGATGGTTATGATTGACTGAGGACCAGACGTTTTTAACCAAGATTCCAAGCTGTGCAAGCCCCTGAGAACTCCTGTGCAACCACAGAAACTCAGGCATTCTGGCGTTAAAGCCTGAGTTCATAGTAAGAGACCAATAACATAGGCTGGATGTGTGTAAGACATATTTCAGCTCCTCTCTCTCTGGGTCCCTCCCCCATCCCAGAATATCATTACCATGTGTCCCTTATCTTTGAATCAATTCCCTGTTCATTCCAACTCCCCTCTCTCCATCCATTCCTTTTTGTCCCTCTGGTTGATGGCAACAAAATTTTTAAGGTAGCCTCAGGCATGAAACCCCAATCACTATTAATCAAAACAACTATAATTGAGAGAAAAAACAAATTCTGCTGCGGCCATCAAGTATTTGATTATTACCATAAATAGAACATTTTCCTCCTACCACAGGTGACTAAATAATTGCAAATTCAGGTAATAAACAACTGGATGAGTTTACGTTTGTTGCCTGATTAGGGTCCTGTGCCCTGGAGCAGTCAAGCCAATGAAACGTACTTCAAGTCAGAAACAGAGAGAAAGTTTATTAGGAGGTGACATCAACAGGGAGTCCGACAGCAACACCGGCTGTCTTCTTGGAGTCCCAAAAGGCAATTTCTACATCAGAGCTTATATATTATTTTTGCAAGGGTTACATAGTGTCTTCAGACATGTAGCCCATGGATGGTCGGATGAGCATACATCACAAGACAATTACAAGAAACTCTTTATTGGACTAAAGATATGCATGCTGGACATCTGGACTCTGATCTTTTTATGTTTGTAACAGGAAAAAACTTACATAAAAATCTTTTGGCTAGTGGAATTGGCCTGCCAACTTTATTCTGACCAAGATAAAGAGCAAGAAAGAAAGAAAGTTGCAGACCAAAAGCGCCAGGCAGCCTTCCTAGCTGCCACCTTGCAGGCTGAAGGCCATCTCCCAAGAGAACAAAGAAGAAGAGAGAGACCAAGGCCACAAGAGCCGAGAAGGCCCCATACCCCTTTGGAAGGAGACCAGTGCAGCTGGTACAGTTAAAAAAAAAAAAACTTATAGGTTACTTAGAGTATTACTATGTCATTTGTTATATCAAGCTCTCAATCACCCATTCTGAAAAGGTGAAAACATGTTGCGAGGTATTAGGGTCACACATTCTTAATCAGTCTTCAAGAGAACTGGATTCTTGTATTTCATCTACCTGCAGGGCGTACGACATTTATCTACTTCATTTGCATCTAAAAATAGGGTCAATCATATATTCCCCTACTTACTTTGTGAGAGCATCAAGAAGAATTTAAAATAAGGAATGGATAACAAAACACTTGAGAATAAGCTCTTGAAAATGCATTAACTACCAGATCATTGGAGTGATGTCTAAATAAATGTTCCAATAGATGTACAAAGAAGAACATCACACAGATGAACGCTTATGTACCATCAGTGAGGACCTCCAAAGTAAGAGAACTGCCCACAGTCCAGCACCTTCAGTAAGAGCGGAAGTGTCTTACCACACTGAGTCTATTTCTTCAACAGCAAATGTGTATATGAGAAAGACTTGATCAGTGAAGAGGGGGAAAAAACATGATTATTTTCTAATAATTTCTTTATTAGTAAGGGTCCTATCCAAAAGTGTATATGCTGGTACAGACACTAACCTATGTGAACCAAGAACAATCTGAGACAAACCAAAAAGAAATTTAGTCTGAACCAACTATTCCATTACTGGTTATGAGTTCTAACCAGTTCCTTAACGACCACTATCAGCAAGTGGCCATTCAATAAACCTGAGACTCATTCTTGACACTTCCATCTTGTTCCTGCTCCACAGCTAAATCCTAGAGCTTTGACCTCCAAAGTAAAGAACAAATCCACCCATTTTTGTGTATCACTCCTGTAAACACCTTAGTCCAAGCCTCCATCATCTCTCACCTGGACCAGCCTTCCATTGGGACAACACAGCAGCCAGAGAAATCTTTTTAAACTGTCAAAGGGAGCTCATTCCCCCTACTAAAAATCCTTTGATGGTTTCCCAAAATACTTGAGATATAATCCAAATTGCTGAAAGTGACCCATAAGATCTTCATGATTTGGCCTCTGCCTCCCTCACTACTTCATTTTATACCACTTGCCACCTTTTAATCCCTCAAACCCACCAAATTCTTTTCTGCCTCAGGCCATCATACTTTCTTCTCTCTCTACTTTAAATCTTTTTTTGCCTATTCTTTACCCGGACAACTCATTTATCCTTGAGATAACAGCTTAAATGTCACTTTGTCAGAAAGGCCTTCTCTGGCTCTCCAATTTAAATTAGGGCCCCTTCTATACATTTCCATCATACTTGTTATTTTCTCTCATATAATTTACAAATTATCATTTATTTATTTATTTGTTAGTTGACTTTAAGTCGGTCCCCAACTCATGACGATCTCATGCACACCTGACCGAAACTTTGCCCAGTCCTGAAACATCCCCATAATCGGTTGTGGATCGGACCATTCTGTCTTCAGCCCTTTCTTCCTAGTCCATCTTAGTTTGGAAGCTCCACTGAAACCTGCTCAGCATCTTAACAACACACAAGCCCCCACCTACAGCTGCGAATGAGGTGTATTGGCCAGGAAATGAACCTGAGTCTCCTGCATAGAAGGTAAGACTTCTACCACTGAACCACCAATGTCCCCATTTATATATTTAAATTTCTTTTGGTCTCCCTCACCAGACTATAAGCTCCAAGAGGGCAAGAACCATCTCCCTTTTGTTCCTCACTGAATACCCAGTGTCCAGCACAGTATTTCGCATAATAAATATATTTTTTTAATGAATGCATGACCCTGTAAGGTGGATAACTTCATGTTACTACTTCATATTGCTAGGTCAGTGAAGGTGCTTAGATTTGAACAATTATTCTAATAATTAAAAAATTAACTTTTCAGAGTGTTTTCCCAAAAGGTAACCATTATCCTGACTTTTAGAGGATTAGTTTTCCTGTGTCTGTACTTTACAGAGATAGACTCAGTTATGTACTTTTGTGTACGGCTTCCTTTGCTGAAATTTGTTTGTGCAATTCATCCCTTTTGTTGCCTGCAGATGTAGATTGTTGCCATTGCTATATAGTTATTTCATTACATGAACACTGTGTGAATTTATTCATTTTTTCTATTGGTAATGGTCTTCTGGATTGTTTCCACTTGGGGACTGTTACACCAAATGCAGCTGTGAACATTCTGATACCTGTCTGTCGGTGCACGTAAGTGCACCTAGGAGTTTGGCTGTGTATCTACAACTGCTGGGTCATAGGGTATGCAGCTTTAGCAGATAATGCCAAACTTTTTCAAAGGACCTGTACCAATTAAATTCTAGTAGCAAAGTAGGAAAGTTCAGTTACTCCACATCCTCGCCCAAACTTCGTGCTTTCTACTTTTTTAAAAAAATTTCTATTCTATTTTGAAATATAAAAATAATTGAAGCAAAGTTTATATTGCTTCTGGGGAAACCTTTCAATTTTTCGTTTGGGTCTCTGAATTATTAACAATCCCAAGCTTCTACTTTGTCAGCTACACCCTGCGAGCTTGTGGGTGCGTTTTCTACTTTGCTCGACATTTTTGCTCACTCTGCCACTTAGATGTCGTGCTGAGAAGAAAATGTGTGTATACAAGGCGGGGCAAGTCCTTTGAGGATTCTAGAAGTCTGATCACTGTTTAGACGAAACTTACGCTGGCCTTCTTTGGTCGCTTTCTCTTTTCTAGAATCCATGACCTTGTATCTCCTGGTCGCCTATAGACTTCCCAATGGGCACCGGTTTTCCCCGGAGGCGCTGGGAAAGCCGGGCAGCTGCCCTCTCCGCTCCCAGCCAGAACAGGGGCGGGGTGGGGCGGGGCGGGCCACCGAGCTGGCGCAGAGCATGCGCAGACGAAGCCCAGCGCATGCTCCGCAGCCCGGCGGGTCTACCGAAGCAGAGAGCGGAGTCTCCCGCGCCCTGCCACCCCCGGCGGAGCTGCTGCTAAGCCGCCCGTGCTCAGCCCTAGCTACCAATAAAGTTCGTTAAAAAAATCATAATCATTCTTAAAAGAGCGAGAGACGGCGCGAGCCAGCCAGGCGGCCCCGCCAGCGGAGCTGGCGCGCTTGGAGGAGGTGGCGGCGCCGGAGGCAGCGGTTGCGCCGCGACCAGGAGGAGCCGCTCGCGCCTGGCGACGGGTCCGCGGCTGGCGGGGAACGGTGAGTAGCGGCTCTCGCTCCGGGCCAGCGGCGTTGCACCCACTCGCCTTCCTCTGGGGGCTGAAGGCTTCTCTGGCGTTTCTGGGTAAGGATCCGCCCACCCCCGGAGTCCCGGGATGTGCCTTCTGTGGGGCGTGGAAGGTGGAGTTGCGGCTCCCATCCCCCGGCCCAGGCCGCTGAACGTCTGCTTCCCCGCCACAGAGCACGGTGCCGAAGTTCCCTCTGGAGGAGGTGGGCGGCAGCTTGGCCCGGCGCTCCTTCGCATCTCCCCGTTGCCCGGTCTCTCCTGGGTGTCGGTCCCTTGAATTGCCTCGTGGGCGGGGAAAAACGGGGGAGGGGGATGGGAGGCGAGGCGCTGTAGCCCCTAACCTGACCGAGCGCCGGTTTTCTCGCGCTCCCCTACCCCCAAATGGGAAAAGAGCAACCCAGGCTGGGAGAGACACCAGCAACGAGGATTAAGTGCCTGTGTTAGGTGTGATGGGGAAGAGAATCCCTAGCTATAACCTGGCTCTTAGCACTGGTGACACAGTGGTTAAGAGTTCGGCCGCCAACCAGAAGGTTGGCAGTTCGAATCCACCGGCCGCTCCTTGGAAACCCTTCTGGGGCAGCTCTGCCCTGTCCTGTGGGGTCGCTCTGAGTTGGAATCGATTGGACTGCAACTGGTTTTCTCCCCGCTTGGTCCGCTTTTTTATCCGGGGCCCCACCCTTGCGTAGTTTCTTGCTCACAAATTGTTAGAATATGAATGAGCCAGACTGCACTATTTCATTGACACTGGCTGCCACAGAACTACTGTACGCGGAGATCGGAGAAGCCAGCCGCAGCTCCCAGGAGTGAGAACCTGAGGGTGTGTGAGACAGTAATAATAACTGCACTATCAGGACCTAGTGAAGTGACAGTAGGGTCTGAAAAGGGCCGTTAACTTCTCTCGGCTTTATATAATTCCTGACATCTGCTGGGAGCCCTGGTGGCGCAGTGGTTAAAGCGCTGGACTGGTAACCAGAAAGGTTGGCAATTGGAAACCACTAGCGGCTCCGCAGGAGAAAGATGTGGCAGTTGGCTTCCGTAGAGATTTACAGCCTTGGAAACCCTATGGGGTTGCTTTGAGTCGGAATAGACTCAATGGGCAGTGGGTTTGGTTTTTGGTTTAACATCTGTCTGCTAGGTAACTTCATGAAACCTAAGAAAATTTTGAGCATTTTTGTAAATATATCTGTACAGTTTTACTCTGTCCTTTAGGGTCGCTATGAGTCGGAATTGACTGGATGGCAACAGGTTTGATACTTAAGTACAGGCTATTATTAAAAACTACCTTTTTGATGACTCAGTTAACTCATCCCAAGAACTTAGTGATGTAGTGCTTTAAGTCCATTAGAGTAGTGGCTAAGAATTTCTAGAAAGCCTGTGTTAAAACCTAATTCTACTTTTTTTTCTTATTTCCTTTTTTTATTTTTTAAATTATCGTGGTGAAATTGACTTTTGGATTGTGCAGTTCTGTGAATTTTAAGTTAATGTAACTACCAACTTCCATTACAGTCAGTATATAGAACAGTTTCATCACCCCCAAAAAAGTCACTCATGGTATCCCTTTATAGTCACACCCTCCTCTCACCCCTAACTCCTGGTAGTTACGGTACTTTCGAGAATGTCATATAAATGGAATCATACAGTGTGTAACCATTTGAGACTGGCTTTTCTCAGCTCAGTGCCTTTGAGATTCCTCTAAGTTGTTGTATGTTATCAGTAATTTATTTTTAGTATTCTGTTGGATGCATGTGCCACAGTGTGTTTATACATCCACCCATTGAATGACATTTGAGTTGTTTGACATTGAAGGACCTTAAAAAAACAAACAAACCTGTTGCTGTCAAGTCGATTCCAACTCATAGTGACCCTATAGGATAGAGTAGAACTGCGCTGTAGGGTTTCCAAGGAGTGGCTGGTGGATTCAAACTGCCAACATTTTGGTTAGCGGCTGAGCTCTTAACCACTGGGCCACCAGGGCTCCTGAAGGACCTTAGAGCTGTTATTAACAGTCACGTATAGATTTTTGTGTGGACGCAAGTTTTCGTCTCTGGGGTGTTACTAGGAGTGGGATTGCAGGGTCATATGGTAAGTGTATGTTCACAAGAAACTGCCAAGCTTATTTTCCAAAGTGGCTGTATAATTTTGCATTCCCACCAGCAGTGTGCAAGAGTTCCAGTTACTCTGCATCCTCTCCAGAACTTGATATTGTCAGTATGTTTTAATTTAGCCATTCTAATAGGCATGTAAGGAACACTGGTGGCACAGTTGTTAAGCTCTAGGCTGTTAACAGCAAGATCAGCGTTTCGAACCCACCAGCTGCTCTTTGGAAGAAAAGACCTGGTGATCTGCACCTGTAAAGATTATAGCCTAGGGCAGTTCTACTCTGTCATATAGAGTGTCTGTGAGTGAAATCGACTCAAGGCACACAGCAGTTGGTGTGTAGTGGTATTTCATTGTGGTTTTAATGTGCTTTTGTTATTGTGTGCCATTGAGTTGATTCCAACTCATAGAGACTCTATGTAAACGGGGTAGAACTGCCCCATAGGGTTCCTAGACTGTGCCTTTAGCTAATGGCTGATGATATCGAACATCTTTTCATGTGCTTATTTGCCATCCATATATACTCTTTGGTGATGTGTCTGTTCGAATCTTTTCCTCATTTTTTAATTGAGTTGTTTTCTTATGAATTTTGAGGGCTCCTTATGTATTCTGGATACAAGTCCTTATATGCTTTGTAAATATTTTCTCCCAGTTTGTAGCTTGCCTTCATTCTCTTTAACAGTGCCTTTCTTCCGCGGAGTAAATCTTTTTTAATTTGGATGAAGTCCAGTTTTTCAATTTTTCCTTTTATGGATCATGTTTTTGATACCACGTCTAAGAACTCTTTGCCGAGCCTCAGGTCAAGAAGGTTTTCTCCTTCTAAAAGTTTTTTTCTAATAGTTACAATTTTACATTTAGATCTGTGATTGATTTTGAGTTATTTGTGCAAGGTGTGAGGTTTAGATCAAGTTATACACTTTTGCTTGTGGCTGTCCATTTGTTCCTACTCCATTTGTTGGAAAGACTGTCTTTTCTCCATTGAATTGCATTTGCACCTTTGCAAAAAGCTAATTGGCCATATTTGTGTGGGTCTATTTCTGGGCCCTTGGTCTGTTTGATTGGTTAATATAGCTTGTTGCCATGAGTTGGAATCAACTCGATGGCAACTAACAACGTACAAGTATTAAAATCAGGTAGTGTGATTTCTTCTGATTTTACTCTTTTTCAAGATGGTTTTAGCTATTATAGTTCTTTTGCGTTTCCATGTAAAATTTAGAATCCGCTTGTCTCTGACTAAAAACAACAACAAAAAGCAAACTCTGCTGGTATTTTGATTGGAATTGCATTAAACTTAACATAAATCAATTTACAGAGAATTAATATTCTAATGTTTTTATTAATTGGTTAGTCTTCCATTCCATGAACATTTGTTTAGGTCGTCTTTGATTTCTTTCATTAGAGTTTTGTCATTTTCAGCATACAAATCCCATACATGTTCTGTTAGATTTATACTTAAGTGTTTGTTTTTTGAGCTATTGTAAATGTCATTTAAAAAATTTTCTGTTTCAGATTGTACATTGTTTGTATATAGAAATACCATTGAATGTTGTATTTCGACCTTGTGTCCTGTGACCTTGCTAAACTCACTTAGTTCTAGGATTTTTTTTTTTTTTTGTAGATTTCTTGGGCTTTTCTGTCCTGTGTGAATAGAGATAATTTTTTTTTCTATAAGCTCATTATTTATTTTAGGCTTTATTGCACTGGCTAGAACTTCATGTATGCTGTTGAATAACAGTGGTGAGGTTAGACATCCTTACTTTGTTCCCGATCTAAGGTGGCAAAGCCCTTTATTAACACTGAAGACGTTTCCTTCTGTTCCTAGTTTGCTAAGAGTTTTTCTCACAAATGGATGTTGAATTTTGTCAAATGTTTGCTCTGCATCAGTTGGTTGGTATGATGATGTGGTTTTTCTTCTTTAGACTATTAATATGGTGGATTAATTTGATTGATTTTCAGATATTGAACCAGCCTTGCCATCCCAGGATAAACCCCACTTGATCATGGTGTATTATTCTTTTTGTATATTGCTGGATTTGATTTACTAATACTTTGCTGAGGATTTTTACATTACATTCATGAAGGATTTTTGTCTATACTTTTATTTTTTGTACTGTTTTTGTGTGATTTTGGTGTCAAGGTGATGCTGGTTTCATAAAATGAGTTGGGAAATGTTTCCTCCTCTGCTGTTTTCTGAACGAGATTGTGTAGCATTGGTGTTAAAATTCTTTAAACATCTGGTAGATTTCTGCAATGAAACCATCTGGGCTGGAGATTTTTTTTGAGTTTAAGTTATAAATTAAATTTCTTTAATAGTTATAGGACTTTTCAAATTATCAATTTCATATTGGGTGAGTTGTAGTAATTTGTAAGGTGCTCTGGTGGTGCAGTGGTTAAGTGCTCGGTAAAGCTCAGCAGTTTGAACCCACCAGCTGCTCCAGGAGAAAAATGTGGAAGTCTGCTTCCTTAAAGATTACAGCCTTAGAAACCCTATGGGGCAATTCCACTCTGTCCTATAGGGTCACTTTGAGTTGCAGTGGACTCAATGGCAATGAATTTTTTATGTTTTTGTTTTTTGTTGTAATTTGTGATTTTCGAGGAATTGGTCCCTTTTATGTTGTCGTGAAATTTATGTGTGTAGGGTTGTTTGTTGTATTATTCTTTTGATGTCTGCAAAGTTGGTAGTTATATCCCCTGTTTCGTTGCTGTTATTGGTAATTTGTGCCCTCTTTTTTTACCCAGTCTTGCTAGAGGTTTGTCAGTTTTATTGATCTTTTCAATAAAAAAATCATTGGTTTTCTGTTTTTTAAATTTCATTGATTTCTGCTCTTTATTACTTCCTTCCTTTTGCTTACTCTGGGTTTATTTTACTCTTCTT